CGTTTATGGATATCAAGAGGAAACCATTGTTGTTGAACCGATTTCCCTCGATAAATAACAAGTGGAGGAAGCGCCTGACCAGTTGCAGAGACACACTCAAGCATAGTTGTCCAAGCCCGAGACCCAGGCTGTTTTTTTCGCATTGATGAGCTTTCTGATGATCCCAGTACTAAGCCATTTGATCCTCTGCCTTCTAGGATACCAGTTTCATCCATGTTATAGCGATGATGTGGTTTGATCGCCTTGATCTCTGGAAGGGCGAGTTGTTGAAACCATTGCCTGATTACATTAGTTGAGGCCCCATTGACACGCTTAGAATCGATGGCTCTAGCTCTATGAACCTTGATTGATGGATTTCTCTTAATAAAGAACTGAATCCAGTTTCTCCCAAGTGGCTGGGTAGTGCCTCTGATGTCTAGGATTCGCTGGGCAAATTCCTTGAGTTGTTGATGTGTTGGCGGCAGCCCTAACGCCGCCTGGATACGCACCCATTCAGCTAAGTGACTTTCCTGTGCTGGAGATAGCTTCTGGAAGCTAGAGAAAGCTACATTTCTTGCCTGTGAACCCTTTAATCGAGACTGGAGGGTTGATGGTGGAATTCCAGCATCATGAGCTGCCTTTCGGACACTCTGCCCACTTGCAACTGCATTGAGAGCTTGATTGACTTCTGTTTCCGTATACTGGCCCATTAAGCGTATAAGAGTAACTATTCAAAGAATTATAATAATCGCTGTAAAAGTGGTGAAGATATTAAAGAATGTTGAAGAGGGTAAAATTCTACATGAGCGATTTATGGGTGTGCGAAATGTGGGGGTGTGCGAGAAGTGGGTGTGCGACGTTAACGATCTTAGCCAATAATCTTAACACACAAGCTTCTTTTCATAGTTTGAAATGGCAGAAGGCCCTTCTAGCTGATGGGCCTTAATTATGTTATTTTGAAGTAGTAAGGTAATCTGGTAATAGAGGATGAAATCTATATCCTACGCACATTAATGATCACACTGTCGCTACATAATCACCAGATTTAAAGCTTAAGTCGACTCTTTGCATTGACTCCTGCAACATGGAAACGCTCACAAGCTGATCCTGGGATACCGAATGATACTTATCCAGTGGACTGGATTCATACTACTAGTAATATCTCATCTTGAGGTGTCTTTGGTCTCATCAAATTGGTGGGAAACCTGGTCAATCCCAGTACACGGGCAGTGCTTTCCGCCCATCGCAATGCCAAGACTTTCCTTGCTCATGGGTGTGCTCCCCCAGTTGTCGTCTCGAGGCGAAGATTCTCATGATTACTCTACAGCCCCAACTCAAGCAATGCAAACAGATTTTGACAGTTCTTGGCGGCTCTTGGCGCTTGATTCTAAGGCTCATGATATTATGTTGTCCAAACTCGAATTGTACAACGAAAAGGCGGTTTTCGTTCTTGGAAGCTGCTTGCTAGCCCCAACAAGACCTTGCCTATCACTTGATGTACATGTAACGCCCCCAAACCACGAAAGCGGGATTCGAAGAGCCGAATGTATTTTAATGTCGCCATGGTTTGCTTTGCTTGATCACCCGGAGCCGAATGACAAAGTTGCCCCTGATCATTTAGTCTTTCTTTGTCGGCGCCGATTAGCCAGTGGTGCTGTCTGCGCGGATGCAGCCGAAGGGTCGGTTGTATGGAAAATATCAGATCCGGAATTTTCTGAGCAAGAGACTCATCCCACGCCGCCATACATGAGTCGCGAGGACTGGGACATGCACAGTTCAAAGCACAAACCAGCGTTCGTGCCGTACGTGCGCGCCGACAGTTATGGCCGATGGGCTAAGCTAAGGAGGGATCCGTGTGGAGGGAGAGGGTGGCTTAAACGTCCAAACTCGGACTGGTAAGTAGTCCAGCAGCTTATTTTGTACTACCAGTGACTTTCTCGCCAGAGCATAAAACGCAGCCACTAAGACAGCTACGCTTTTCTCAGGTGGAAGTAAATGGCACCATAGTGTTGAGCGAGTCTCCTTCAAAGGAGCCAGGAGTTACACAGAAAAGTCAAAGTGGCGAAGTCTTCGGACAAATAGAGCTTGATGTTTGGACGACGCACATTTCAAGGTTGCAAGGTCAATCATCTGCCGCCGCGAATGCGAGGAGTCAAAAGTGCAACAATCCTAAAGTCTAGTCACACTTTTGGTATTGGACCACGGGAGATACGGCACTTTTGAAGAACGACGAGATGCCATGCGATGGGAAATTCTTTCATAAACAACATGAAAAGAGGTTGTAGATACTAGTGAGGCGGCCGCCATCATATGTGAGCGGCGTAGTGCCGGAACATGTCTTGCGCGGGTAGCAGCCAACTATGCCGACCTCGTCGTCGGGTGAGCATCAGCTGGCCGACTATGGGACCGCCGTTAAAACTGTTAAATATGAAGATGCAGCGTGTTGTTACACACTATGTGATGCCTTAATCGGGGACGTCGCCTCAAAAGTCTGTTCAACCTTGGTGCGACCAATCTAGTGTGACAGACTGACCAAGTACACACCTCTCATGCAATAAATCAGCAGCTTGCGATGCATACACGTCCTAACAGAAGCCCAAGGTTTGTTTCAACCCCAACAGAGTTCCTTTCTCGCGGCCAATCCCCGCTCCCCGCCCTCCCCCTTCAGCCTCTGGCTAAACTTCCAGACGACAGCATACCAACCGGAATCAACGCAATGCGCGTCTCAGAGACCTACTTCGGAAGTCGGGCTTCCCTTGGGCAGACAGAGTAAACGTAAAGAGGGACGGAAAGTACAGCCCGCCAGACAGGCGCGGGGACGTACGTCGTCTGAAATTCATGCCCGTGCATGCCGAAAGCGACATGGGGATCAAGGGTTCAGGTGTCCCATCGCGCAGAACCAGCACACCCCACGGACTGAACCTTTTGCGCTCGCCTGGCTTTTTTGTCGGTATATCGTCTGTTCCCACCAGTACGCACGCACTGAAACGACGTATGCTAACATTATGCTCAGGCCACCGAAGGGAAGGGGCTTATTTGTATAGCGGCAGAGCTAGAAGCCTGAAGAGGGGACATGACGACCCGGCAAGCAAGGGAAGATTTGAGTCGTAAATAAGGACGTTGTTTCCCACCTCCATCACGGCCTACCGTTCCAAAGACTTTCCGCTGGACATCCTACTCCATCAAGGACGTGCCGACACACAAAGGATGGAATAAGGGCAACATCAATCAGCCTCAGTCATCATGAACGCTTACAACCCCCGAAGGGTGTCATACCTGAGACCTCCCGCTACGGGAGGTCAGATGCCCCGTCCATGGGTATCGCCATATCCTTCTCTCAGCTCAATCGGATACCCGCCGTCAGAAAGGTCGGCCGACGAGCGATTCGCGTCCGCTGTCTGGCACCGCACATTCAACCACATAGATTACGCCGCGTACAAGGCAGCATGCGATGCGGAGAGGGAAGCAAAACCTGAACGAGATCCGGACGTCTTTTCGGTCACCTCAACATCCTGTCGAAGTGGGTTCTCGCGTGTAGGCGCCATGCTCAGCATTTACCCTTACCGCGACATGGGGTGGCTTGCCACCATGGTTTTCATCGGGGGTGGCATCTGCTTCTGCCTCAACGGCATATTCTCTCTGCTCCCTCTACTCAGCCCTCAACTTGATTTCCCCGGGCAGGACGCCGGAATCCAGACTACTCTGACGTTAGGCGGCACACTATTCGCTCTCAGTGGACTCATGGGTCTGCTTGCCGCCTTCAATGTCGACCGTGGTAACTTGGACCCCAAGAAAGACGCACCCGACGCCTATAAGCCAGCGCTCCTCGGCAGCGATGAATGGGTCTGGTGGCCCAGCTGGTACGAGTTGCGCAATATATTTCTACCCAGCCTGGCCTTCCGTGCCGGCATACTACAGTTTCTCGCCGGGTCTTCTTTTACCATCTCGGCAGTCGCCGGTATTCCCGGTGTTCTCGATCTCACCCATCCTAATGCTTCAATTATTTTTGTTTCTTCTCCTCAACTGATTGGTGGCGGCCTTTTTGTGCTCGCTGGCTTGTTGATGATCTATCTGTCTCAAGACAAGTGGTACATGCCGAAGTTTCTCGACGCTAGCTGGCAGAATGGATTCTGGAATTTGGTTGGCGCTGGTACCTTTTTGGCTGTTGGAGTTGTGACTCTATTGGAAAAGACAGCAGCTTTGGCGATTGCATCATTGTTTCTGACTGGAGGCTTGGGCTTTCTTTTGGCCGCCTTGATCCAGTGGTACATTATTATGGAGTTTTATCCGGCTGATCCTTATGTCGAAGATCCCGCCGCTGCTGCGGAGATCCCCTCGCAGTCGATTTACTAACGATGTTATGACTGGACTTTTGGGAGTGGGATTATCTCAAAAGATTTACATTTAGATACTGACCCAGATTATTTTAATTTACGATGTTATGACCCTCATCGTACTTAGCTCACCGCGGTGTCGTAAGCTGTTGCCACTTGTCATGTCATCCAGTTGCATATTGAATGAAACGCTCATAGACAAAAAAGCAGGAGATATCGTTTTGTTTCCCAGGTGAGATAAAAAAAACATTTGGCTGCTCTTTGGTAAGTCTTTTTGTAAGCGAGTAAGAGAACTTCTGATTTCAACTGTCATAATCTTTGATCTGAGCTTTCGCCCGTGAGATTGATTGGGGCCATAGCGCTGTTGAATACTTTGCAATCTTCAGAAAAAAAAGATAGAAAAGAACATCTGCGTTGATGTGACACAACTGCACTCGGGAAAAAGTCCTTCGTCAAATCTATGAGACAACGAAACTAATACACATTTACGGGACTTTACAGTCCGCAATCCTCTCCTTGTCAAGATTGACCCCAACCTAGTTACCAAAGTTAATCCAAAGTTAATTCTGAACTCCATTGCCATATAGCAGTCTATCTAACTCAACAGCAAATTTGTGACCTTATTGTTGATACTCTTCCCTACCAAAAAAAAAAAAAATGCCGAAATCCTTTAATACGCCTCACCCATCATTTCTTTGCTCTACGAGCAGCAATCTTGTAGAATATGCTGCCGTCGTAAATTCCGCGAATGTCTTCCTTCGCCATTCGTCCGTCATGAGGCCAAAGCATCAGATATGTGGCCAGCCCTACGCAATGGTCAATGTCACAACGTCTCGTGTGTAAACAGATTGTCTGATCTTTACTCACACTCAAAGAAAGCTCCACCCCAACCAATGGGATCGGCAATAAGCCTCTGGCCCTTGAGTAGAGCAAGCACATCCCATATGGTCATGTAATCTTTACCAGCGGCGTACTTAACAAACATGTCTTCAAACTTTTGAGGGTTGAATCTCCCTTCGGTATCGTACGTGTTGCTATCACTGCCATGTTTGTCCTTGTGGATGTTCTGAATGTAAATACGAAAAAAGGGGTCTGGTATGTAACCAGACAGTGTGGGGTACGAGAAGTTGCTGTGAATAATGAAAACGGCGACGAGGGATAGGAATATTCCGAATCCCAATTTGTGAAAGCCCCAGAATGTGTCCGTGGGCCATATCACACCATCTTTGTCCTGGGTGCCTGTTAATGATCTACTGATTCCCCGCCATGCGGACCCTGTAATACTTACGGTGTCGAAGAAGTCGCAGTGTTGCTGTAGGACCTGTGATCGATAGCGTAAGCTTTAGAACTAAAGTTTCAAGTATAATCTTTTTGATTGTTTTTACAGTTTGATGGCGATGCTTTTTAGCCCAGTCATTCTCTGTGGTACCATTGGGATGTTCAAAAGTTGCGGCGATGTTGGCCCGCGGAGTCCCTTCATCAATCTGTTAGGCACATTTTTTCTAACAGTACACACAATGCGACGGAGATTACTAACCCGTGTGTGCCAGCTTCTGGTCATCCTCCGGTTGCAGAAACGGCTTCCGCTGGATGGTAACCGGAACTTCCGGGATTGAGTACACCACTGGTTCCCCGAGCATGTCGGTGGGGTGTTGTGACGTTGTGTAAGTCTGTTCTTTGGTGGCCATAGTAATTAGAGCTGAAGGACTGATGTGGTGCAGAGTAACCATTCAGATTTTTCAGATTAGAAAAGGCACAGTTCGTAGTGGAATATATGAGGCGAGATCCAGTTAATGGCTCTGTTTTTGTACAATCCTCGTCGTGCTCATCGTGACGTCATTGCACCCTCACTAACACCTCGCCATTCCGATGGTCAGGCCATGAATTAACTTGTTTCAGTCTTTCATGTGATAGAGCAAGCAATCAATGTTTTACCTAAACGCATGTTCCTCGATGGGGAACGCTAGGAACCCCAAAACAGCCTGCTCAAAGCATTGGCTGGGCTGTCTGCGGCACATTTCTCACGCCAAGAACTTGCCAAGGGTGCCATCCATCAGGGTCTCGATCGAAACATAAGAGAGTACAAGAGGGAAAGGTAGAATTGTAATTGTGACGAGATTCTGACCCATCGGTCGGGATATTCATCCCTAAACCCCATTTTTGCATGAAAAGAAGTGCTCTCTTGCTTGCAAATATAGCCTGCGATTTCATGTTAATGCCTCACAGTGGGATTTTTGACGGCAAGATGACTCCAGGAAAGCTTCTGAGCTTGAAATCATGCTGTTGTTATCAGTTCCGATGCATATATCCACACTCGCGTAAATAAACGGATTGTAAAATAAAACAACCTCGTCTTCCCTTGCATGCAGGTAAAAGTCGATCAGTCGACATCATTATCAACCCATACAAAGACAACCCCAGAAACCGCCAATTACTGTACATATCAACCAACTATGGATAAAGCACTTCAGACAGCTCTCAGCGCTGGGTTGTCGTCGGTGTCTGGCTATCACTCAAACAAGCCCAAACGCGTCGACCCAGAGTTGGCAGGCAAGAATGTTCTACCCCAGAGTTTCAACCCAACGCCGAAAGATCGCATTTCTTTTCCCGCCGCCAAAGGCGAAGTAAAGGCTTCATACATCTCCATTGGCGGCTGGCCATGGGGTGATAAAGCTACATGGCACTACGATGAGAGTGAATGGATCAAGATCCAAGAGGCATGGCAAGCACTTTACGACGCTGGAATCAACTTCATCGATACTGCCGAGAGTTACGGCAATGGCGAGAGCGAGAAGATTCTCGGAGACCTGATTAAAGGCCTTCCTCGAGAAAACGTCGTAGTGCAAACGAAGTATTTTAGCACCCCCCTAAAGGCGACAAATTTCACCCATCCCATCGATGCGCCGATCATCAGTCTTAAAGCTAGCTTGGAGCGAATGGGGCTTGATTATGTCGACATCTATCTTGTTCACGGACCCATCCATCCTCAGAGTATTAGCACCATCGCAGAGGGGATGGCGAAGTGTGTCGAGGAAGGTCTCACACGAGCTGTCGGCGTCGCCAACTACGACGACGACGACGTGCTCAAGATGCGCGACGAATTAAAGAAGTACAACATCCCTCTGGCGACGAACCAGTGCGAGTTCAACGTTCTCCGTCGCTACCCCGAAGTTTCGGGCAACATCAAGAGATGCAAGGACAACGACATCGTTTTCCAATCATACTCCTCTCTCGCGCAGGGTCGTCTTTCAGGCAAGTACAGCGCCGAGAATCCTCCGCCAAAGGAGTACCGCTTTAGCAGCTACGACATGAAGGATATCGAGCCCACCCTTGTTACCTTGCGTGAAATCGCAGAGAAGAGAGGCAAGAGTGTTGCCTCCGTATCCCTCAACTACAACATCAGCAAGGGTGTCGTACCAGTGGTTGGAATTCGTAATGTTGAGCAGGCAAAGGCGGCCATTGACGCGCTGGGTTGGAGGCTCAATGAGGACGAGGTGGTTGCTATTGACAAGGTCAGCGTTGAGGGCAGGACAAGCACGCTGTGGCAGCAAGGCTAAAAGTATCAATCTATGATGCAAGGGATGAGCGAAGAGTCGATTTTGCCAGGAATTTAGCAAGAAACTCCGTGCTACGGACCTCATGATGTACGATGTTACGTCTGATTAGACTACACACACTGAAATATTGAACTATAAACACTGAAAGTAACTACGGCATTGACTGAGCCTAAGAAAGTTGATCGGTGACCGAAGATAAATGCACCTTATAAGGCCTCGCTTGCCACATGCTATCACCAGTTCCTATATTGGTTTAAGAATTTGCCCTCAAATTCTTTCATTCTCTTACGTTTGGCTACAGCGTGAGTTCAAGAATAAACCATGTGGCAATCATTCTGGGTAAATGGAGTCGCTCAGGTTTGTGCACTAGCGCTCAGAGTCGAGTTTTACATTCTTTCACCAGAGCCCAACAACGTGACGTACACGACGCCCTCGCCCGTTTAGCTACAGGATGATGACATTGTATTCGAGTAGATCGGGCCATTTCCACTCACATTTCCAAAAATATCTCGCGCATCACTTCTTGGCAAGCTTCTGGTGGCCTTGCTCGACTGCGAACGCTTGGACAGTGCCCAGGCTCGAGCCATATGGCAACAGTGGCTTCCTATCAAGTAAATTTGGCGTCTTTGTTCTGTAGTGAAACTACTCTGCGTCCCCGAGCTGGTATTCAGGCGGCGCCCTGCCGGCCTGTGGCTTTCATCCCTTGGCGTTTCCAGCTTTCCATGGTGCACGGGTGAGGCACCAACCATGTGATTGAAGGGTGTTCGGCATGGTCAATGTAGGTCGGCCAGTGCGTCTACGGCAGTGGCATTTCCCGAATTTCGCAATCACACAGCATGTTATCATTGCAGAGCTGAGTCCAATCAGATTCTCCTTCTCGGACTTAGGAACTCGTGTTTGACATTTTGACACCAGCTCGAAGACATTTGCCCAATGTCAGTTCGTCTGACTTTCCGAGCATTTGGCTTTGACCCCCTGACAGACCTCTCAAAAAGGAAATCTCTGGAGAACACGTCTGGATAAAGAACCCAAAACAGGTCCCTGAGAGAGAGAAATTATGAGGACAATACTGCAGCCTTGGTAATCAGAGCATCGACACGAATGGGCAGGACAGGGCGTCAACGCAAGCGCGCTCGTCCGTTTAAACACTCAACTTTTCTGTTTACTTCTGGAAAACTGCAACGGCTGTCATAGTTGCAGTTAAATGACTTCCAGAGAGCCAGAGCACCGGGACAAATACCTGAGAGTTTGATAGCAGAATAATTCACAAGTCTGATGAAGCAACGTTTCGCAAAACCGTTTTGAAGTTCATGGCGGCTACATCTTTAGGTAGCTCCAAGTATTGTGCTGAGAAGCATGTAAAATTTGCTGCGAAGCATTTACAAAGGGGATTTTTATTGGTTATTGCCACCCAGCTGGTTGAGTTTTGCAGAAGAGCCGACAAAATACAAAGGACATCAAAAATGAAGTTTTACGATTTTCGAAAAAAGATGTGATCAGTGGGAGGCTTGAACTCCCGGCCTTGGCATTACACAACATATCGTATGACATATTAGTACCACGCTCTAACCAACTGAGCTAACCGACCTGTAACTGCTGATGTCAGATTAGTTATCGAAACTATACTTATTGGGCGTCTGTGGAGATCCCAAGAGATCGCTGAGACGAGCGAATCGACCTCTTGTAATTGAAAGTAACCAAAGATCAACGGCTTCAGGTTGTGATGGCAACCTCTGTCACCTATTTGGGCGGATCAAAATCGCTATGTGTGGTCAAACTCTTGGCTTAAACCTTTCTCGGCAGATTAAAAGTTAACTCACTTCTTAGCACTACGTAGTAATGAGAAAGTTCCTATGACTTTGAGCTTCTAAACGGCCCTGAGGACTATCTTGGCTTAATTGAACAAATTTGATTGGGTTAATGACAATGCGGGCAGGCTTTCTTTTGCAGGCTCCCTGCGCTAGCATGTCACTTTTGACTGGCCATGTGATGTCCGCAAGCTCGTATGGCCATACGGATGGTCAAGCAGTGATACGCGTAAATTTTACCGGTAAGAGGAATACACAGTCGGTGCTACCGCAAGCTCCATGAAATCCGAGGCCGAAACCCCGCAGCTCTGATTATCCCTTGTCCAGGATTCCAGGATACAAGTCACGTCAGCAACAAAGAGAACTTCTCCAACGACTTCCCTAAACAGGCAACTTAATCATTACGCAATGACTGCCGGCCCTACGGTGTGCTAAGCACCCTCAAACATCTACCGGTATTCTATATGGGAGCTTCAACATTATTGCCAAAACACCTAAAAGATTACACTCACATTCCAAGACTGTGGGGAGACGAGCTCACAGACTTCGAACCTCGTTCACGTCACTCGCTTCTTCCCCAGATTCTTGAAACTTGTTGTTTTCCCCGCCCGGATGTGCCGCTCCTGCCATGTGTTAAAGCATCACCATCAAAACAGACTGTGCACGCCCGCGGGAAACGAAAAACGGCATGACAAAGAGAAGTCCCGCCACCATGGACTCGAATGTCCGAGAGCCACTTCGCATCAATGCGCTGCGTCCCCGAGCTGCCGAAGACGAGAAGATCTCTCTCCATTTGAATGGCCATTCCTGCAGCTTTTTGACCGACATGATGCCCGTTGAGAGCCAATTTACCAGCAGCAGCTTTCGCAGCAACACCAACGAAACCAGAGACTACCATTCCCCCAATAAGCAACTTGATCATTTCTCTGATTCACAATGTATGAGCCGGTCTCGCCCCCAACGACGCAGCCAATCATGGCTAACCGCCGCGTTGTGCCTCACGGCCCTCATCCTGACCTCGGCCTGGTATGCCAACAGGCTATCCGGCGCCGGCAGCGGGTCCTGGCAAGCCCGCCAGCCACCACAATCCCCTGCTTCATCTTCACCAGCCCGGAAATGGAATACGGCCGTCTCCAGGGCGACTGCGTTTACCGCCCAGCTCAACCTTACCGAAAAGACTCTGATGGTTACCGGTCAGATCGGTCTTGAGGCTGGTGGCTGCATCGGTAACATCCCGCCGATCGAGCGCGTTGGCTTCCGCGGCCTCTGCTTGCTCGACGGCCCCACGGCGCTTGATCGCGCCGATCTCGTTAGCGTATTCCCTGCTGGCCTCACAACGGCGGCTAGCTGGGACAAGAACCTCAT